TCCTAATGATACATAAAATCTTTTACACAGCAAAGGAAACCATAATCAAGATGAAAAGGCAACCCTCAGAATGGGAGAAAATATTTTCATACAAAGCAACTGACAAAGGTTTAATCTCCAAAATTTACAAGCAGCTCATGCAGGTCAATATCAAAAACACAAACAACCCAATCCAAAAATGGGCAGAAGACCTATATAGACATTTCTCCAAAGAAGCTATACAAATTGCTAACAAACACATGAACGGATGCTCAACATCACTAATCATTAGAGAAATGCAAATCAAAACTACAATGAGCTATGACCTCACACTGGTCAGAATGGCCATCATCAAAAAATCTACAAACAATAAATGCTGGAGAGGGTGTGGCGAAAAGGGAACCCTCTTGCACTTCTGATGGGAATATAAATTGATACAGCCACAATGGAGAACAGTATGGAGGTTCCTTAAAAAACTAAAAATAGACCTACCATGTGACCCAGGAATCCCACTACTGGGCATATATCCTGAGAAACCCATAATTGAAAACGTGTCATGTTGTACAAGGTTAACTGCAGCACTATTTACAATAGGCAGGACATGGAAGCAACCTAAGTGTTCATCAACAGATGAATGGATAAAGAAGATGTGACACATATGTACAATGGAATATTACTCACCCATAAAAAGAAATGACATTGAGTTAGTTGTAGTGAGGTGGATGGATCTAGAGTCTGTCATACCAAGTGATGTAAGTCAGAAAGAGAAAAACAAATACTGTATGCTAACACATATATACGGAATCTAAAAAAAAAAAAAAAAAGGTTCTGAAGAACCCAGCAGCAGGACAGGAATAAAGACACAGACGTAGAGAATGGACTTAAGGACACAGGGAGGGGGAAGCATAATCTGGGATGAAATGAGAGAGTAGCATGGACATACATATACTACCAAATGTAAAATAGGTAGCTAGTTGGTAGCAGCCACATTGCACAGGGCGATCAGCGCAGTGCTTTGTGACCACCTAGAAGGGAGGGATTGGGAGGGTGGAATGGAGATGCAAGAGGGAGGGGATATGGGTATATATGTATACATATAGCTGATTCACTTTGTTATACAGGAGAAACTAACACACCATTGTAAAGCAATTTTACTCCAATAAAGATGTTAAAAAATGATAAAAAATAAATACTAAATAAATAAATTAGGAGAAATAATAGCGTGTTTTATGCTGCTGGAAAGATAACTGATTACAGTGAAATAAACATAATGAAATCATTTTTGGTGAAGATATGTTTATTTGTGTATGCATGTGTATGTGTGTGTCTGTGTAGACACAGACTGCCACTGATATGTCTGGAAGGATATATACCAAAATGTTAGCAGTATTTATCAGTGTTAGGATGTGCAATACCTTTCCTAAAAGTTTTTCTTATAATTACCAATTTTTCTACTGTGAGCATATATAACTTAGGTAATAAAAAATAAGTTAAAGGATAGGGAAAATAGACATTCGCAGAAACTTCAATTAAAAAAATTGCAATAGGTGCAAAAAAATCCCAAAACAAACAAACTAAAAAAAACAACAAAGGGCTTCTCTGGTGGCGCAGTGGTTGAGAGTCCGCCTGCTAATGCAGGGGACATGGGTTCGTGCCCCGGTCCGGGAAGATCCCACCTGCCACGGAGCGGCTGGGCCCATGAGCCATGGCCGCTGAGCCTCCGCGTCCCGAGCCTGTGCTCCGCAACAGGAGAGGCCACAACAGTGAGAGGCCCGCGTACTGCAAAAAAAAATTGCAATAGGACTTCTCTGGTGGCACAGTGGTTAAGAATCTGCCTGCCAATACAGGGGACATGGGTTTGAGCCCTGGTCTGGGAAGATCCCACATGCCACGGAGCAACTAAGCCTGTGCGCCACGACTACTGAGCCTGTGTGCCACAACTACTGAAGTCCACATGCCTAGAGCCCGTGATACATAACAAGAGAAGCCACCGCAATGAGAAGCCCGCACACTGCAATGAAGAGTAGGCCCTGCTTGCCGCAACTAGAGAAAGCCTGCGTGCAGCAACGAAGACCCAATGCAGCCATAAATTAATTAATTAATTAATTTTAAAATGCAATAGAAAAGAAGTTAAATGATTTTCAGAACAAAGAACATTTCTAAAGCAGCATATGAACTCAGTTAAGAGTATAATCATGAGAATTATCTCACCATTCTTTGTTTCCTTCAATGGAAGGACCAAAATCTGGGACTACCCTAAAACAAAAAGATTCCTAAAAAATAGAAAGCTTACCTTCCATAATCATTATTTTCAATGGCTACCCTTTCTGCTCTTTGGATATTTTCTAAGTATCAAGAGTGCTGTTTCACATCACACTTCTGTATGTATCCAGATATAGTCTCCTCGATGGAAAGCAAAATTATCTTTAATAGTAGTAATAGTGCCTGTACAGCATTTATTATGGACTTACCCAGTAAAATAGATTGTGAATCTTACAGGAGAAATGTGTAGTTAAGGGCCTCTTGGAAGTTTGTCCTTCAGATTTGGAGGATAAACCATCTACCCTCGTTAATGCCATTTAAGAATTGGAAACATTTCAAAGACAACCAGCGGGCCTTTCTCACTGTCTTTTACTAACATGGTGGCCTGGTTTAGAATCTGTGTAAGTCTGAGGATTTGGAGCATTTCTAAGAATATGTGGTGTGTTTAAAATATCCTCTGATTATAAGGCATATTTCATTTAAGTTAAAATTTATTTTTGAATAGTTATTATAAATATGAGCTTAGAAATTCGAAAAGCACACACAAAAGTTCATACAAGTAAGCCTCCAAGTCTCTTTCACATATTTGTCTAACAATAGATTACCCTCCAAAAGAGGCAAGCCACTAACAATGTATAAGGATGCCAGTTTTCCTACCCTTTCTCCAATCCAATTTGTTTCCAAACTTCTTGTTCTTTGCCAATATGACTGATGAGAAACAATATATCATTGTAATTATAATTTTCACTTCTGTTATTATCAGTGAGATGAAAGATTTTCTCATATATTTAAGAAATGGTGATTTGTCTTTTTTATGAACAATCTGTTCATATATTTGCTTATTTTTCTACTGGATTGTTGGTCACTGGTCTTTTCTTTATGATTTCATAGGGGTTTGCTATATATTAAGGAGCTTAGTAAGGCATAGTTTCAAGCATGAAAAGAAGACAGAAAAGGGAAAAAACCTATCAAATCTAAATTACGTGTATCCTCCCAAATGTTCATTGCAAAATGTGATATTTAGATTCTCCAGGTTTCTTTCCAAAATGTATTTTTTAAAAAAATTTTTGCTTCCTTCCTCCACTGAAAATTATACACAGAGCATCTCCCATGTGGCAGACTCTAGGCTAAGCCTTGGGGTTACAGACATCAAAGAAAAAGACAAACCTAGAGATAGGCCTTGATCTGCAAACAGCAGAAGGTGCCATGGAATTTTCATGACTCAATGGCCCCTCACTATTTTCAACTTGGAATGGAAAATCAAAAAAAATTATATATTCAGGGAGAATGAGCATATGCATTCATTAGGCAAGATATAGTGGTGAGAGAAGTCAGGAGAGCAGCTAGGTTCTCCCTTGAGAAGTGCATGGGTAGTGTCTCTTTTTCCTTAGAGAGGACAGTGAAGAGGAGCCAGGTGAGGCCCTACCTGGTGCCTGACACCTGGCTGTGGGGTGAGACAGGGAGGGTTGTCTGAGGCGCTGCGGGTTCTGACAGCGAAAGGCCCTCTTTCCTGGGCAACTGTGGGGATGGCGAAATGGCAAAGTGTGCTACCACTGTGACTGAGAAAATGGCAGTGTGGCAGAAAGAATGACGACACTGGCACAGACAGGTGGTTTGTTTCCTCAGGCCAGGGGTCTATCTAGGGCTGCCATCCCTTAGAAGAGGGGCAGTGGCTCGGCCTCCACGGGCGCCGCCTCCCACCTTCCTCTCCTCCGTGGTCCCAGGAACATTGAAAGCGGAACTGGGGAGGGCTGCCCAGAACCTCCAGGGTGGCCTCAAATCGCCTCTCCTCTTCCAGCCTCCTTTTCTGATATTTCCTCTACCTCATCTGACTTTTTGTGCAGGCAATATGGTGGGTCAGGCGTAAAAAGGGCCCCACAACGAGTTAGTTTGGCATTTAATCCCTTCTCACTTTAGTGCTGCTTTCTTAACTCTCTTCTACTTCACCTTCCATTTTAGGTGACAAATAAGGAAACCCTGCGGTGGGGGTGTGGGGTGGGAGGTGGCTCAAGAGTACAAAGATATTTGAGATTCATCCTCTTCCATGAGTACAGAGTTGTTTTCCACATGCCCATGCTCAGGCTCCTGAATGTTTAGGTGCAGAAAATATCGTGGGCGTCAGGAGGGGAGGCAGGGCATAAGAATGCCTTATGTATACACCGTGGTAGTTTGGTATTAATATGCTTCTCTCCGTCCATCTGTGCTTTCCCTATATTCTCATCCTACCTTACCTTCGACTATTTCTGTGCAAGAAATACGGTAGGCAACAAGGACGAGAAACTTAGAGGAGAAGAACAAGAAAAGACTAAGGTATTTGATATTGATCAGCAAGTCGGACCAGAGCAGCTTTCCAGACGCCCCGCCCCACCCCTGCCCTTCAGTTCAAAAGGCTGATTGCTGAGAAGAGCAGAGCGGTTGGAAGGGGCTTCTCTCATAAAGGTGACGCATACTTTTTGGAATAGATCAGAATTTACCTTCCTCTCAGTCTTGAGCCTCCTTCCTGACCTTCTTACCTTGGCCCCCTCCCCCAACCCACCCACTACGGCAGGCCGCAGGCTTTGGAGAAGGGAATTTGTAACAACTATATTTTGGTATCCGTCCGCCTTATGAGGCCGAAGCGGATTCACTGATGTCACCTCCCGAAACCCGTATACATTTCAGTTCAGGGGAAAAGATTGTAGGTTTGGGGTGGAGGAGCTCCCTAAAAGAGGGGAACTAATACCGAGACCCTTTGGTTTAGTCGGCTTCTCTCCGTCCAGCGCTGCTTTCTCAAAATCCAGACCCCGCCCCTGCCCACTCCAGTACCGAAACAGCCAGGGTAGGCGGGACGGAGCTCGCTGACAGAGAAAGCGGCGCTATGCAAGGCCTGGTATCACTCCGCTTCCGTGAGGCCGGATCGCCTTCAACTACCCTAGAGCTGCTCGGTTTTGGTTCTGGGGACGTGGAGAGACAAAGTCTGCGGAGGAAAAGGTAGCTGTTAAGAGTCTCTAGGAGCGGGTCCCTGAGGCGTCCTGGGGGCGGTAAGGAGAAGGAAATTCCAGAAAGTTACAGTCGTTTGCCAGTTACGGCCCTTTATCTGATAAAGCAGGTATCTCGTCATGAATCTGCCGTGCCGTGCCGGGCCAAACCCCAAACATAGTCGCCGCCATTGTATCCGCCGCCATTGTATCCGTGTCCTTGTATCCGTCTGACCGTCCGTCCCTCTTTCTTAGGGTTCGGCACCCCTCGAGGCAAGGAAATGAGAAAACTGCCTCTCATCCAAGCAGAGCAGGTCAGTGAGAAGGCGGGCATTGCTTGGGAGTGTGGATATGGGTGTCAGAGATGAACGTGGGAGATGTGACTTGGTCATGGGGCGCAGGTGGTGAGAGGGAGAGAGGGACAGGGTTCATTTGAGCGGCACGCAATGATAAATTAAAAATGATCTGCCTCTTGCTAGCTGGATTTCCAGACACTGCCCTCCCCCACCCACCATGTTTGGGGAGGGAAAGGAGTGTAGTAGCGGCTTCTAGCGGAGAAATGATGGATTACATTAATAGGAGGAGGGGCTGCTGCTGTCTGAGAGCAGTGGTCTGGGGAGCCCTGGGAGGGAAA